CAAATCCCTCAATGCTAGGAATGCGAGCAATAGATTCCTTCAAGATTGCAACAAGAGATTCGTGATTGAACTTTTTGCACCATGCGGACAGCTTCCCAATGGCATCAAAAGCTTTGGTGTTTGTCCGACCTACTACTTCAGGGTGGCCACTTAGTCACTAGTTGAGGTACATAGATGACCCCGACGGTTGGGTACTGTGTATACTTTCTCTGTCACGTGGTCACAGTCACTCAACGATCGTGTCCTGAGATTGCAAAACAGGCGCTGGCTTCATTGCGTCGGGCAGTGCCTTGTGGAACATCGCAGTGGTGGAGCTCCTTGGTCCAGTTCTGTGGATTTAGGAGCATGAAGTTTGAAAGGGACATGGTTGTGAATGTTGTGATTCCAACTCGTTGATCCTCCGTCCCCTGTGGACATCCTTCACTGGGCTCCATGCCTCCTGTGAACATCCTTCAGCCTTTGAGCTACACCAACTGTAGCCAGAGCTTTTGGTGCTTAGGAGAACCTTCCACAAGAACCTGGAAGGCTACAACCCGTTGCTGAAGTTCATCACTGCTGCCTGGCAAGGGACAGTGTCCCCTCTCCAATAAGCTTGTCATGCTGGGAAGCTTCCACCCTGCTTCTTGCAGAAAACTGTATTTGATGGATGTTGATGAAAAAAAGATCTGCCAGCACCAGCTGGACACGAAAAATGAACCTCCCAGAAAGGGCTCAATCCTCCCACGCCCGAGGTTCCAAGGTTCGAAACGCACGTCGATTTTGAAGAAATCATCGTATCAGCCGAGGTGAAAATCATCGTATCCTTTGCTTACTTTCAGTGCCCCTGCAGCAGAAAGCTTGGTAGAGATTTGTTGCCAAGGCCATATTGGTTTGATTTGGTTTGACTTAGTTTCATCGACGGCCTTTGGGGAACGGAGGGACACAAAGAAACGGAAAACTCAGGAAGGGATGCTTTTACATTCTGCAAGCGTTGCAGAGCACTCTCCCTTCGGAAGGGCAGAAACTGGCGAAGTCTGTTCCTTTCTTTGGACAGATCATGATCCTTGGCTCATTCAGCACAAGCTCTTTCTGTTTGATAAACATGCGATTTGGTCGGACAGGAAGAAGCAGGCGGTCTTCAGACATGTGCCATTTATCGCAGCTTCGATTCTCATGGAGTGTTGACACTCTTGAACCCAAAACTATATGACCAACCACTTTTATTTTAGCTTTCGTAGAGCATGCCCTATTCACACCGCTTCGCGGTCAAAGCCGCCCGCACAGAGTAAAGGGAAAACAGACACACACACACACAGACAGACATAGACATCCATGCATACAGACATACTGTACATACATGCATACATACATCCAGACATACATGGGAAAAGTGTGTCATTAGCAGCCTACCGGCTCGGCAGCAACCTGCGCTCGCGGAGCCGGGAACTAGCAACTTGTGCTCTCGGAGCCGGGAGGAAATGTTAACCAGGCTCAAGCGTGAAGAAGCGCTTCGCTATGGGCCTATCTAATCACCAGCCTTTTCACCGAGGGTTCTGTCTTCGTCTGTCTGTCTTGGTATGTCTGACTTGGTCTGTCTGACTTGGTCTGTCTGTCTCGGTCTCGGCCTGTCTGTCTCGTTCTGTCTGTTTCGGTCAGTCTGTCTCGGTCTATCTGTCTCTGTCCGTCTGTTTTGGTGTGTCTGTCTCCGTCTGCCCATCTCGGTCTGTCAGTCTGTGTCTCGCTCGGGCAGGACACACGGACGAACACACCCACGATGTCAATAATGCAGTGTCCCCCGTGTTGCGCATACGACCGCGACGTCGATAATGCCATATTAACCGGCAGGCATAATCGGCATCACCAAATGTAGTCCAAATGCATATTATATCCGTTTTCTTCATCGTCAAAAAGCAATGTAAAGCACAACGCTTCCAGAGCAAGTTCCTCCCCCTCCCCCACGCTAAAGCTTAAGATTCAATCTGGCCGACTTCTTCCGATTGCTGTTGTCCCGAGCCTCCACTATGCCGCCCGCGCGTTCGGTGCGGGCACACTTGTTTGTCCTTCATCCACTTTCGCTTGTGAGCAAGATAGGCGCCCCTCGAACAGAAATACCTTGGTTGAGGACATCTATAATCATTATTGCGCGTGAGCGACAACTTTAAAGCGTGTCTACGTGTGAACGAGACAATGTCAGCGAGTGAACGTTGTGATCATGTGATTTCCTAGAATTTAAACAAGAGGGACCCGGGCCCCTGAAAATAGATTGCATATTTGAGTTCAATACCAAAAGAACGGTTCGACCCATGCAGCCCATGCAGCTTGAGAACAACTGTCTTTCCTTGAAGCGGGTTGTTGGCGACAAAGCAGATTCACACAATTTGCCTACCTTTGACACAGCAAGCACCAGTTCATTCTGATTTTCTCATATTTTTTGGTTGTGTGTGCCAGATGGTTTTGTTGGGGTTCGGTGCTGACCTCATTCGGAAGTATTTTTGTTTCTTGCCGCACTTTCTGATTGGTTATACATTTTTTTTGGTGAAAAAGGAATATGCCTTGATGTCTTTGTGGGCTGTAACAGAAGCGACTCATCACCAATGGAAACTGAGGGGAATGGATGATGCGCCTTGGCTGCTCTCAGCAGTGATGGGATGACCACCTGCAGAGATGTTCAGTTTTTCGCCTGCTCAGCAGCACAAGAGGTCTCAACATATCTCAACCACTTTTGAGGTTTCAGAACTTTGCAAAAATAACATGCAAAGACCGTCTGCCTCAGGCTCATTTCGAGCTTTTCTACTCCACGCTCATGGCAGGAAGCTGAGTGGAGAGGGACACCAGACTCGTTTGAAGTGGTCTGAAGGGCTCCCAAGCGCTGCAGACTCTGGGACGACATGCTTCTCCTGAGGTGCTGGAGTGCTTGGTGGTGTGCATGCTACATCTGATCGCATGGCAAGCATCGGAGTGGCCTGGACATGTGGAAACAGGCTTATTGGAATGAACTTAGTTAATGGCCTGCAAAGCCCCACAAGCGACATAAAGCGGGTAGCACGATGGCCTGGATGGTAAGTTTGAAGATTGATCGTCTAGCACATTTTCGACATTATGAGATTGTAAATGCAATTCAAAGTAGAGTTTCCGCAGTGAGTGGCAAGTGGTTAACAATTGACTGCCACTAAGGGATTGGTATGAGAAAGCCATGATCGTCGACGAAGCGAGCCCTCTGATGCCAGAGAAAACGACTGAGAAGCCGTGAGAAAAAAGATGAAGGGGATGACAGGTTTGCTGGCCAGAGGGTTGAGGGTCTGAATGGGCATTACAAACGATTTGCAAGGTATAAATTTCTTGAGGGCTGGCCACTGTGAGAGTGCGCTTGTTCATGCCCTTTGATCTCCGATTGTCTTGCAAAACTATCTATACCATCTTCAGGGTCTCACTCTCGCATGCGTTGCAATGTAAAGTTTGCCCGGTAAATCCAGGTTTTGTTGTTCAAGATTGATGCGCAGATACGTTTACACAGATTTCTTGCGGAGACAGAGGTACAGGTAGAGGGCAAAGAAACAGTTGAAGACATACAACAGACATATGCAATTCTCTTAAACATTATATAACGTATACCATATAGTTAGCTTGCATTTCTCTTCTAGATTGTATTAATCTAGTGGTTCTTGTGTTGCTTGGCTCCTCCCCTTACTGCTTATTTCTTGAATGCATCCAGGATATTTGTAGTTTTTTTTTTTTGTCTTGTCAATCTTTAATTACTTGCTGCTTGCTCCACTTCTGAGTTATTTGCTCTGCTCTTTCTGATTAGCTCGTTCCGTTACTTAGCTTCTCTTCCTCTGATTCTGCTTTTCCAGTGTCAAGTTAATTTGCCCGCTCCCATTTAGCTTTGCCTTCTTTTACATTTATGGTTATATAATCATTGACAACTTTGTCCTGCTCTCAAAGGGCTTCCTCTTGGTCCAGTGGCTTTTCAATTTCTAGTGGCCAGCGTCCTTTCCGAGCCCTTTCTGTTCTCAATTGGCTTTCCTATTGCTTCAGCGGCCTTTTTGGGTCTCCTGCTCAGCTTTGGCAATGCTACTATGGTTACTGTACTCTCAGTCTTGATGTGCTGATCTTTTCTTGAACTACTCAGGAGCTAAATGAGAATGAGAACGACTACGGATCTTTTTGTCTTCAAACCTTTTTCGGAAAAGCACAGGAAAAGGACACAACACTTGCGACACCCATAGGAAATCGCTGTCAGCGTCCAGCTAGTAAGTTAAGGCAAATATGCATCTGCACTTTAACTGGACCTTGATGGTTTGTCCAGCAATTCATTCTTTTGCTTTACAAGGTACCTTTTTTCCCTTCATGTAAATTCTTTGCAGGCCAAAAGCAATGTACTGTGCTGATTTCTTCCCCCTCTTATGCCCACTCTGCACTCCTCCCTTCAATGTGTTTTAAACAGCACTTCCATCCTTGATGGGTGTTTCTTTGTTTCCCCTTTCTATTCTTATTCTTGGGCTCTCAGTACCCAATAACCTTAATTTTCTGATCTTGGCTTGTGCCCTCCAAGAAGTGAGAGCGTGTTTGTTTGCAGCGTCGTACAACTCCTATTTTTTTGTTTCCAATTAATTTGATCCAACTTGTCCAAATAGAACATGCACTGACGACACTACTTGTTCAAGAATCCTTCTTTTGGCTAGATCACATTCCACGCACCAATTGTTTCTCATCTTGCAATCTTGCATCCAACAAAACCTTGGAAGCAACACTTTTCATACCATGGCTGTTTATCTCCTGGCGGAACAAAACCTTTAATCATAAACACTTGCATGGTAACATTTGCTTTTCAATATTCAGTATGTATACACATATAGGAATCATGCAGTTCAATCTTGTTCTGAAGCTGGCAAAACGATTAAATTTGGCTTCCTGAGGCCGATGGAAAACCAAAAACAGGCCTCCCCACAAAACAAAACACCAGACCTATGTTGGAGGCCAAGCCAGCCAAACACAGTTTTGTTTTTTTGTTTGCTGGACAGGCCGCATGAACAATATGAGAGGCAATGCATAGATAGGTCTTTGTGCCTTGGTCTGGTAAGGAAAATGGCCAGCGAATCAGTGAATGTGTTAATTGTTCTACTCTTCTTGAGAAAACATTGGTGGCCCAATCATAAAAGTTAGAGGAGAATTGTGGGACTGGGAGGAATCCAAATCCAAAGAGATCCCCCATAGATTTTTTGCAACGGAGGGTTGCCATTTGAGATGGCTGATTCTGGAACACCGGTTCCTGCCAATTGAAAGAACTTAAAGGCAGAAGTCTAGGCAGATGAAGGGGTGTCCGCCTAGCGCAATCATGTCTTGGATACTTTCAATGCTCATGTTGCTCCGAGTGAGGGCAAACATTCTGGAAGATTGGATATCCCCACTCTCGCCGGATGCCTTCTTCGATGCAACATTTGAGCAACAATGGGCCCACTTTCCCCACAACCACTCACTGGTTCCTATAACTTTGGGACACGTGGCAGAGTGGTTGCAAAGCCAAGGGCGAGAAGTTGAGGTTATAGAGACTTTGCGGCACCCCGTCTCGAAGCAAGGATTCCGAGCATCCAAGCCCTCACTGAATCCCGTACAGTACATCCAAGAGGCCTTCTTGCAGGGTCATTCAATGGTGATCAACTCCTTGAACAAGTGGTCAGAGCCTGGAGCACGACTGGCAAAAGAACTGCACAAGGCTTGTGACTTGCCCATCGATGTCTATATGTATTTGACCCCACCATACTCACAGAGTTATGGATTCCATTCTGACGTGATGGATGCGTTTATGGTGCAACTTGCCGGTTCCAAGTTATGGAAGCTTTGCGATGTGCCAAGTTGGATGTCGTTGAGCGAAGATGAAAATGATCCCAAGAAGCTCAATGCCTCCTGTGAAGAGATCCAGATGAAAGGAGGTGATGTGATGTATGTGCCTTATGGCACACTGCATCAAGCAAGTACATCGTCGGACTTCTCCATGCACCTGACCGTGAACATTGAGAGGCAGTACTATGTGTGGTTGGCGGTAATCTTTGCCATGATGCACAAAGCGGTCGAGCCCAAGCTCTCCATTGAAGGATTTCTCAATGCATTCGCACCAGATGATATGGATATACCTGCCGTGCGTTCGATCTATAAGCTCTCTCCAAAGATCCCAATGCTTCACCGGCTGCCGGGAGCCTCGCAGACATTTTTGGTGTCTTTGTGCAATGAGGATTTGCCAGGGGGTCATTTGGAGAAGCTGAAAGCAGAGCTGGAGGATTTGATAGGAAACATTCTGAATGTGTTGTCCTCAGATAGCAAGGTGGCAACATCGGTTCCTATAAACGGCCGCAAAGTGTCATTCTTGAAGATCATGACGAAGTTGCAGAAGAGATCCCACGAACTCCTTGAGTGGGCGTTGCAGCTTACCCGCTACCATGCTATACGGCATGGCAAAGAGCAACTGCAGCATGGCCATGAATCTCTTTTCCATTCACTATCGGCCGCAAGAAGGCTCCAACCGGAGGTGTTCAACAAGAAGCAAACCTTGTCATCCTTTCCGTCGCTTTTGCCTCCAGACACATTGATTCGTCGAAGGCTTGGTTTGCGTGCAGTGCTTCTAACAGAGGCAGATTCAGCAAAATTGGTCGTGGACAGTGAGGTGATTCTTCTGAAGTATTCGGAGATACCAACCACAATCTTGTGCCTGGGGCTTTATGCCGAAGGTTCTTTACAAGGCCGTCCTTTTACACTTGGTGACATCTTGTCGCAAAGTGCTGCGCCCAGTGACCACAAGCAGTTGTTGCACAGACTGCTACTGAGTGGGGCCTTGGAACTTGTGAGCTAGGGCGCAGAGCTTCATCGTTGGTCCACGTGCCACACTTTGCTTCCACGTCCGTGCTGGCACTTCAACTGGATGAGGTGGCGCAGGTGGACGCATGGATTCGGTGCGCACATCGAGATTTACCACCTTCGAAGCCGACATGTCTAATTCTTTCAGCTCGACATTGATTAGCACGGACGCATAGCGATGCAAAAAGACCGCGACGCGACTCGTCAAAACGCGACGATTCTTTCATGAACTTGGCATATGGACTGAAGCTCAACAGTGACTGTTCAGAGCTGGCAGGCCAGAGGATTGGAAATCTTGGAGGAGGCAGGTGACAAACCCAGTCATAGAACTCCAAAGTGATGTGCGTGCTGTGCGTGGAATCAGGGTCTTTTTTCTGGATGGAACTTTTTTTTTTTTTTTAATAGAAATCGAACATCACCTTTTAACAATGGATCCTTCTACAAGGTCAGGGAACTATCTACTCGTATCTCTACAACAAACAACAATTCTTCAGAGAATGCTTCTAGCAACAGCCCCGGTGTTGGACGACCCCAACCGACCATTAACAAGACCGCAGTACCATTGGAAGAACGTCTAACCATTCCAACACTGACTCGCCTAGACTCCAGCTCTACTTCCCTTGGGTACTCCATCTACTCCCATGACTCCCAGGTGGAAGCACAGGGCGTGGCCTTAATAGATCCCAGTCGTCATGCTCGAGAGCTGGCTGCAGATGAAGAGAAGGCACACGTGGCACACCTTGCTCTCCGTGGTCAAGAGAGCTGTGCTGGCATCGGGTCATTGGGGTCTCCAGGTTGGGGTGAAGACGATGCGTATGCGTCGGGGCATGCAATTGCTGAGAACAGGTGAGAACTATGTACTGTATCTCAATTGCTGTGTCAAGTGGGTCGTGGTCAATAGCTTGTCTGAAATCTCACGATCCTTTTCCAAATGACTCAATGTCGCTGTTTGCGATTTCAAGTGGTTGAAGCATCGTCCCTCAGCACTTGAAGCACTTGAGGGGCATTGCTCCACCAGCACAGGAGCAATACGTGGGCTTTGCATAGCTTGCCCATGCTTGCCCTATTGTACCATTCAATAGGGCAGTTTGGCAGAGGGAGCTTTGGGCCAGGGACGAAGCAAAACAACGGCTTTCTCCTCTTTTGGCTGGATCAATATTTCTTGTTTGCATTGTGGGAAGACATCCTAGCATCCCCTGGCCATCAGGCCCATGATTTCGGCTGAAGGGGGCTGAATATTTTCATGTCAGGCACTGGCAAGAAATGGTGTTTGGCTGGGGCGCAGACTTGTTTGCCAGGTGTTTCCTCCCTGAGCAGCCGAGCCCAAAAAGATGTGCATGTTGGAGGGGGGGACGTGGCAAGCATGGTGGTCAACGAGCTCTAAAGCTTCCAGATGCCAGAGTGGGCAAGACTAGTCCGCTGCATTGGGCAACCTTTGCCTTTTGTGCTCATGAGTTACAAATCAGTGGTGCAACCAGCAATCTGATGTGGTGCAACCTGGACTTGGAGATCCTCCTTAGCCTTTGTTACATGTCCCTAGCAAGAACAAATATGAAACCTGTGCTCCTGGTGTTTGAGTTTGGCCCGCACCTGTGCCGCGCCTGTGCTCGCGTGCAAAGCATAGTTAAGAATGGTTGGGAAGAATTATAATGTATCAAATGCCGGCAAACGCCATTGCTGCATTTGGCCATCAGCATAAGATCCAAAATATGTGCAGGGAAACAGCCTTTTCCGACGCCATAACCCCTTGTTGGATTTGTGTTTTCTTGTGGGCAAACGATTGAGTCAGCAAACTGGATCCAGAACATGTCAGTGCAGTTGCCAGCTTAACTTTGATTCTATTGAAAGAAACGTTGCTTGAGCCTCTTTATAGTATAGACGCTTTGACGGTTTGATCCGTAGAGCTTCGCCATGGGGTTCGGCTCCTTGCTGCGTAATTTTGCAGAAGAGGCGGCGACTGCGGAGTTGAGTGGACTTGCGTGCATATCTCTCGTGAGTGATATACGTTCATTCTTGCAGTGAAACACAAAGGACTAAGGACGGATTGTTTATCTATATATATATATATAACCAATGACCGAGTGAAAGTTAACAGAGCTTACATGGCATAAAAAGTCAGTCAAAAAAGTTTGTTTCCTGTTTCCTACTCATTGCATGAGACAAACAGATGACAGAACCTTGCCGTTGTGCCCTCACAGATATTTGATGCAGTAAGACCTGGACTGGGAAGACCTCAGAGCTCGCGAGAGTGAATATTGTCTGAGATGCCTTTGAAAACGATTCAGTTGGAACGGATGTTGAAAAAGAGATGCGCACTCAGGGTGAGTTGATCAAGCTTAATAAGGACATTGACATACTGTACATCTGAGTATTCGGAGTTCTTAGGCTGTTTCAGACGATGTATGAGACATGATAGGCCTGGGACGGCATTTCGTTGTCGCCTGAAGTCCCAGGCAGGCCTGTGGCATACGTGTGAGCGCTCAGGGCCGCCTTCTGTCATAAGAAGCTGAAATACCTTTGTGTTGGAGCTCGGCTGGGAATGCAGAACCAACCCTTTCTCAAGACCCTTGGATTTTTTGACCCTCTTCATTCCTCTTCAGGAACAATACCTCTAGACTCTAGACTCTAGACTCGAGTCATCATCATCATCATCATCATCATCATCATAATCTGCATTCATCACGAACGATTTGCTAAGGTCGCAGGGCACCAAACGCCTGCGAGATTCCTTCCAGGAGCGTTCCGGGAGCTAATTGGCGAAGCAAGGAAATGCTGGTTGACGCCACCGCGTCCTCAAAAATGGTTCAGATGCGGTACCTTGCGGTAGAACTGTAGAACCTTGTTGCATGACTCGACACTTCTCCCAAATCGACCAGTCCGAGAAGTACCAATGAGCGAACGCCCATGATCGCCCTGCGGTCCGCTGCCTGCGATCAAGGAGGCTCAACTCCAGGAGATGGAACGCGACGATTTTCTCGGGCGGCGGATGGCGGCGGGTAGGGTCAACCATGGACTTTTAGGGCTCAAGATATGCACCGGGGTCAAGATGTCTCCTTTTCCGATCTCCTTCGATCAAGTCCCGATTGAGAGAGTGTAGAGGCAACACCTTTGCTTTCAATCAATTCAGCAGATCCACGTTAGGCAAGACCTGGTGGCCTCTATCCCCCTCAGATCCCGAAAGGCCTTTTGTCAAAGTGTGCCAAACGCACGCCTGATATTTGTTTTGAGCTGTGTGAAACCATTCTAGATGATGACACAGCACCTGGCTATGGGCCATAACTCAGTGACTGTGAGAAGATTGTGTGTATCTATATATTAAGCGCTGGCAGGGCCACAGGAAACAGCTCTAGGTAGATCATGGGTGTGTCCGAGTGTGTCCACATTATATATTTATACATACACGGTCGTGTTTGCATGCAACTGCCTGCCTCTTTGGCTGGATTTAGGAGACAAAGCCAGCTAAAGCTGTGAGGGCCTTTGTACGGTCGGTTGTTAGACAGTAAATTGTACTTGCGCGTATGTCATGAGCCTCTGTATGCAAGATTGATCGTTAAGGTGTTGACATTAATCATTTAATTGCTGCGGAGGTTTGTTGTTGGGGTTCTTTGGACTCAGTTACCGAGGCTACCTCGGCAAAAGCAGGTGGACGGCTCCGAGCATGCGGGTGGACGGGCGGTCGATACAAGTAGCAGTTGCAACAAGAGTACGAGTAAGTGGAGTCGCACAGGTAGTGATACTCATGACTATCATTTGAGTACTAGGAGTACACACATCGATTGTCTCCCTCGACTTGATCTTATATTCAGATTCAGATAAGCGTTGGAGGAAAGAGGGAATCACATAAACAGAGATGCTTGCTCTCAAATTCATGGGAATGATCACTGCATCTATGAGGGAACTCACCAGACCAGCTCCTTTTCTCCCCCTTTTGTATTGATCTGTTTGGGAGGGGAGGGAGTTGGTTTGAACTTCGCCCTTCCTGTGCAGGCCCGGCCAAGTTGAAGGTTGGGTAGCTCAGTTTGCATTGCAAGATGTGAGATTCTGTTTTGCGCAAGTTTTGCTTTTCTCTGAACTCCTCGATTGGAAGCTTTGTTCTTCTGCAGGGGCACAAACATCACCAACATCATGACGAGACAAATCTTGCTGCCAAAGAAGCAGAAGAGTGGCTGGCTTGGACATTCAGTGAAGAGGGATGCTATGTCTCACGGGCAAGATAATCATGACACGACATCGCCCAGTCAGGACCGTGTGTCTTCCTCCTTAATCTCCTTACCGGGCGCTCATTTGTCACCGCGGAACGGAGGCGTCGTGTCGATCCGCTTTTCACATTCTGTCACCATCTTTAAGGCTTGAGGAGACGCTGCTAGGCAGGGCTTGGGTTGTTATTGGTCGTCCTGAGGTGTCACATGCCTGTGACAAGGATTTGTGCGGTTTAAGAATTCCGACCCGAAATTCAGCTTCCTATCTGACATCTGACTTGTTGGCAACACTTGAAAGTGCAACCATGACCCAGCAGTGGGAGGGTTGTTCTTGTTTTTTTCTTTCTTGCCTTGCGTTTCCTGAGGTGTGGCACAGAGTGCTGGTTTCGTACATGAACAGTATGTTTCTGTTTCGTATGTCACGGCACGTCACTTGTTTGGACAGGAAAAGATGAGCTGGAAGGTAGACCAGATCATGGGGAAGCTGGAATCGAGGATTGATGCTTCTGACTTCAATCTTTTTCTTTATGTAGGCCCCGCAACCATGCGCAACCTGAGAGGTCATGTTGTATGTCTGAACCAATTTCTGGAGTGTTATTCACTGACCTTCCTGGGATGTTCACTGCTGGACTCGGGTCGCAGGACTTCATGAAGATGAAGCGGTGTAGCTGTCGGGATTCGGGCAGTGATTGGGGCAGTGATTGTTGGATGAGAGGACAACTGTACAGCTCAGAAGGGATACTAATCAACAAATCGCACTCAGGTGCACATTTCAGAAGCGCTTTGTGCTCTTTCCTTTTTTCCGCGCGTGTGAGCTTGGACGCATGGTTTCAGTGCCAGGCCGATCCAGAAGGAATACAGGGTGCTGGTGGATACAGATGTCAGGCACAGTGGATTTTCTTTTAAGGTTGATGAGAAGATCTGGGAAATTCGGGGAATCACAGTCCCCAACCAATTCCCGGGGACCCGATTTTTTCCCCAAACAGTGTGGACACACTTAGGGGATCTTAGGGGTTCTTACGGTAGGGGTTAAGCAGCTGTGCTTAGATTGCTGTGCCGCGTGGGCGTATCCGGCTAATTCGCTGCTATTTACAGTACAT